GCTGTACCTTTTACCATAGACGAACTCAACGGAGCGTTGAGTGTCCTAAAGACATGAAAGGCTCCGGAACTCGATAGGATACCACCAGAAGCGGTGAAAAGCATTGGTAGTATGGAGCCGACGTGGCTTTTGGAACACGAATGCACTGCTTGAAGCTACTGGCCGTGCTACACCCAAAGGGGGAAGACAAGTATCCACCTGTTTGCCTTCTGTCGTGCATAGATAAATTATACGAGATGTTTCTAAGAGAGCAACTAGACACAATCATTGAAGAGTCACCCTGGCAGTACGGTTTCAGAAAGAACAGGAGCACGACGGATGCGGTGGTGGAAGTCTCCGGGAGTTGCGTGGTGTGGTGGTTAACCAGAGGTGGCGATTCTACTGTTGTTTGACGTCCGGAATGCTTTCAACACATTAAAATGGAAAGATGTGGAAAGAAATGAAGGCTTTACTATAGTTTTAAGAGAAGGTGTCTGAAGTACTTGATGAATTTTGTCTCGGACTATCTATCAGAGGGGAAACTTGTGGTAGAAAAAGGAGTGGTGGTTGACGTGACGGCTGGAGTGCCGCAGGGGTCGGTCCTAGGACCCGTGCTGTGGAACTTGGTATATAACGGGGTTGTAAGCCAACAATACGGAAAGGGTGTAACCTCTGTAAGCGTGTACGTTGTGCATGGTGTATGGTTGTTGGTGCATTGTTGTATGGGTGTATTTCGATGCACGTGCTAGTGAAGGAAAGAGGAAGAGTATACGAGAAAAGAAATGAAGACAGCAACAGAACGTTTAAAAAAAAAAGAAGAAAGGGAGAGGTCCACAATGGTGTGGCAAAAGAAACGGAACGAGATGAGAAAGGTGGCACTGTGAAATATTGAACACTGTCTCACACATTGTATTGGTATGCGATAGATGGATAGACGAGAGGAGCCTGCTTGAGACAGAGCTAGGAATGATAAGGCAGAATGAGAAAGGGTGAGATTGAACATAAACAATTAGGAACGGAGGAATAGAAGGATTCAGTCGTAGTGAGAAAGTGCGAGAATTGTGCGTTAATGAGTTAATCTCCCATTGACTGCTTTCTGCTTCCAATACAAGTTTTATATAATACAGGTCTCCATCACCAATGTTGTCGGGCTTTAATATAATCAAAAGTGTTCCATGATATAGCCTAACGAAAGGCTTTTCGCAACCTAAAATTGTCGTAAAGCCACATAAACATCTTTAAATTGGTCATGGCCTTTTTGGATAAGTACATTTAAGCCAAAAAGTGCCTCACGGGTATCAAGAGCATTCCTAAATCCAATGGGTTTCATCTATGTCTCTTTCGCAATGACTTAATGTTCCATGAATAATGTGAAGAAACATTTTTAATGTATAGCTCATCAGACTAATTAATCTGGATTCTTCGAATCTTTTTCCACTCTGTTTCTTCAGAATTGTTATAAAAACAGACTTAAGCCATTCCGCAAATATTTCAACAGTAGTATTAACGTCATTAAAAAGCTTAACTAAAACACTGATGTGGTCCTCTTGTATCATTTATTACAATCCTTGTTTCTTCTATTATCATATCCAGTTTACACAAATGAAATTTTTGATATTGAGTCATTTGGTAGTGGACGAATGTCTTTCAGTTTAAATGCGGTAATGTTCAATGGGATGAAATTTCCAATGATAAGGTGGTAATGGCTGTTTTACTACTTCATCTACTGCATATTTCTTAAATTTTGGTGAACATAATACATACTGTAAAACCTCATTTTCAAGTATTCTTTTTCTTCTACCTATATTAACTGATCGAAGGGCTCTTTTTGCAGTTACTGTTAAGTAACGGTTCCTCTAATATTAAATGGTAACTGTCATAACTATGACAAAATTGTTCAGTTCGAAACATATCATTAATGATGATAAAATTAAATAAAACCTTCATCAATGAACTAGCTTATTAACAGAGTAATTGTTAATACAGCACAAGTTCGAGAAAAATGGCAGCAAATTGTTACGGAGGCCACCAACGACTAGATTTTGACGATTTGATCGGTTATAAATCAAACAAGTGTTTCTTAAACAAATACTGATAAATAGGTTTCAATTTTTTTTAAACCAGAACATTATTGGAGGTCTTGCAAACAAATAAGATCAAAATTAATGTTTTAGTCATTTCCCAGCACACAGAATAGTAATTTGAAAATTGTTAAAATACAGTACAATTCAGATAAACAATTAGAATTTTGTAAAAACTACTAGATTCTGTTATCTGTAGAACATTTTTCAATATCACATACAGTTTTCTCACATTATAATAAATAATGAGATGAAATGGTTCTTGTATTAACTGTCTGGAGAGTTTACAACTAATAGGCCCATTGATTTTCATAATTTTTCAATGATTGCACACCTTTATTGTTTTGTCCACTGATTTATTTTAAGGAAAACCCAAAATAACACTTTTGTACTATTGCATTCATAAACTTTTCAATTATTTTGATTACAATATTTTTTCCTGTTATTTTTTACCAGATGGCTTTTGCATAGGCTAAATATTAGTGAATGCTGAAGATATATCTTGTTTGTTTATATAAATAGTTCCTTATTCAGACTTGTTTCATTTTAGTATTTCCATAAACTGAACATGTGTATGCTTCCCTCAATTCCCTTAGGAGATATTTTGGTTATTGATTTCAAGACAGTTATTGTTTTAAACTTTGAGGGTATACAAGGCAACTATCGAACACGGTGATTAATTTAATCTTGCCCAAGCGCTTTCGATCAATAGATCATCTTCAGGGGCATCTGAAATAAGCCAAGAAACGTTTTTTATAAACAGGAAAATTAATTCACTTGGATAAAAAACTCCAAGTTTATGGTTGAAAAAAATTTTTTTTATATGTGATAAACATTTATAGACTTACTTCGTCAATTGTGGACTATCCGACATACTAGAATGTCATAAATGTAAAAACTGGACATAACAATACAAAATACACTACACTAAGACAAACAAACACTTTAAAATTTATATGGCGAAGCTACATATTGTGAAGAAGCCGGAGACAGAATGGGCTCCCGGTCTGACGGAAATGTAGAGATGACATGTGACAAATGACAGCTTATGAAGGGCAGTTATGTGATCTGCACCTTTCAAAATTCTATGACACTAAGTATTGACCAAAGGTCCAACTGACACCACTATAGGAAATCGACTGATGAAATATAAAATTATATAGTATATTTTTTATGTGGATTGAATAATTCCAATCTCACACTCAAACCTGTCTATAATAATTAGGATGTTGGTTTGAGAGCAATTGAAGTTGACATAAAGTATGAATGTAAGAAAAGACTAACAATATATTAGACAGTGGATGGTTGACTACAATAAAATGGTCCACCAAGCGCTATCGGTACTGTAAAAAAGAAAAATCTGAATATGCAGTTAAATTACTAAAAGTTAAAATCAAAATTGAAGACAAAATATATAAATGTGTTATAGTCCACGTAGTTCAGTTGAATCCACAGTCAATGGAAGAACTTTAAAATTAATATTGAAATATTCAGTGCATGAAGTCTAAACAGTCGAGCTGGGTCCTCTACGAGGTGAAGCTGTAATAAAGTTTTTAAATATAGGATTAAATTTAGTACAATTTAAATTAATTTGAGTATTAAGACAGTGAGAGTTTTCATTTGTTTCCCTTGTAATCTCCAAATCTTCCAATAAATCCAACTCAAGATAGTTTTTCTTTCTGCTAATGTCATGTAAGATAGATGAACCAGAATTGATGTTAAAATTGTGGTTGCTGGCTACTAAGTGTTGACCAAAACTTGAAGAATTTGGTCTTTTCAAATGTTCAGAGACTCTAGTGGATAACTTTCTGATGGTTCTACCTACATAAGATGCATCACAATCATCACATTTTAATTTGTCACATGTCATCTCTACATTTCCGTCAGACCGGGAGCCCATTCTGTCTCCGGCTTCTTCACAATATGTAGCTTCGCCATATAAATTTTAAAGTGTTTGTTTGTCTTAGTGTAGTGTATTTTGTATTGTTATGTCCAGTTTTTACATTTATGACATTCTAGTATGTCGGATAGTCCACAATTGACGAAGTAAGTCTATAAACGTTTATCACATATAAATAAAAAAAAAAATTTTTTTCAACCATAAACTTGGAGTTTTTTATCCAAGTGAATTAATTTTCCTGTTTATAAAAAACGTTTCTTGGCTTATTTCAGATGCCCCTGAAGATGATCTATTGATCGAAAGCGCTTGGGCAAGATTAAATTAATCACCGTGTTCGATAGTTGCCTTGTATACCCTCAAAGTTTAATTATTCGAACATTCAACCTTATATTGAGTTATTGTTTTGTTAAGTTTCTCTAACAAAAGGCAATAAAATGTTTTATGTGAATATTTTATCATTTCTTTATTATTGAGTGCCATTGTCCTGCTTGTTCTCAATATCAGTTAATGTTGAAGATATATCTTGTTTGTTTAGTAGAAATAAGAATCAGAATAAGTTCAGACCTTGAACTTTCCTTATTTCCCATTGTATGTTACACTGCGATATATTTCTGAAAATTCTGTTGTGCTTATACCTACACCAAATCAATTATGCCTCTGTAAGACCTGTTTCATTTTAGCATTTCCATAAACTGAACATGTGTATGCTTCCCTCAATTCCCTTAGGAGCTATTTTGGTTATTGATTTCAAGATGGATATTGTTTTGGTAAGTTTCTCTAACAAAAGACAATAAAATGCTTTATGCGAATATTTTATCATTTCTTTATTATTGACTGCCATTGTCCTGCTTGTTATTTTTTCAAAATTAGACTTTCGATAATGATATCAAGACTGCTTTTTAAATTTGAACAGCCAGGGGTACAACAAATCAAACCTAACAACTGAAAAATACTATTTTTGCACAACTTAATAACACTAATAATAAAATTTAAACGAGCAAATCCAGATATTTATTTGAAACCATAATACATTTACTTACATCAATAATGCCTTCATCTCCAGCCCATCTCTGCTGCTTTGGACCAAAGGAATGGAATTCTGGGTCAGGTGGCCTTTGAAAAATATAGCCAACTGCAGCATCATCCTGAGTACGATGAGGCCCACGATCCATTTCAACTTTTATTATGCCATCTCCTTCTCCACCCCCCAGCCACTTCATTGGTGTCACTACAACAAAAACAAAACATCAATAACATTTGAAAATGGAGAAAAATACATCAAGTTTATAATATATGGGACTTAAGGCTCACCAAAACTTTTTTAATGAATAGTATAATGATACAAATAAAATTGATTTTTGATTCAAATAAACATCTGTCATGCATTTGCTATAAGCCTAGATAACAGCATAGTAGTAATATTATGTATTATCTTTATTTTTATTTAGAAATGCATGTTTATCTAGTTTAAATAAATAGTATTTTAATCCATTCTTGTATTTTGATTGTATTCACACTGCATCTGCATTGCGAAATCCATCATATATATAAAAATGTTTGATACAGACATCGCTTTTCACTCTACCAATATTAAACTTTAGCCTGATTTGTCTTTGGTGTCATTCTTTTTCATTCTAAAATAACAAAAAATATTCTAACCTCAAAATGTAAAACATACTAACTTATACAGAGGTACCTTATCAGTTTAAAAGATTATTGAAATATTAAAATAAGAATGATTTTAATAGCTTGTATTCAATAACTGAATGGACTAGGTCCTTTTTAGAGCTGTCCATTTTGATTGGCCAGGCAAATTGTAAATAAAAAGTTAATCATATTCAAGAGTGCCCTAGGTATGTCTCAAGAACATGAACTGTGTATGCAAAGCAATCGAACTGTCTCGTATATTATAAGATAATTTGATATTTAAAATAAACAATTACTTGTCAACAACTCATTGTGTATTCCACACAAACAATTTTATGTGTAGACCTAGTAGTTTAGTTGGAAACATAAATATTGACTAAAAACTAAGAAATCAACATTTTAGAATATATTTTGTACTCAATAATCAATAATATTATAAATAATCAAGTAGCTTAGACTCTGCTAGTGGAAAAACAATATCGCCATCTGTCAAATTCACTACAATTTTTATATGTATATAAGTCTAGATATTTCAAAGTTTTTGATATACAAATAAAAAATAATTGTTAAATTTTGATTTGAGACCCACCTCAAGGCAAAATACGAAAATTGTGACGTTTATTTGTGACTTGACATTTCATTATTCCCGGTACTAAACAAAATAATGGCGTTTTGACAACTATCAATAACAAAGATTATCCGAGGGATTATTTATCTGGCAGCACAAATTGCGGGGTTTGCAGCAACTATTAGCTTACCTATTGCTGGTCAGGAGCCAGTACTAGCATCAACAAAATGTATTTCTTGCAATCTCTACGATCTTTACTTCGGCGTCGGCTTTGTTGAGATATTTTCCACTGTACACAAACACTATTTGAAAGCACAATTTGTACACTATTTCTTCAATTCACAACACAAAATATTATCACTAACTATACAATTAACTATTTACAATTTACAATAAATACAAGATTCGCAATTTACGCCATTTATACAGGATGAATTTTATAGATTTAAAAATGACAGCAATTTATAAGCTCTCTCGCCATCTTGAAGTATTGCGCGCGCAGCATGAAACTGCTGTTCTTTTTGGTGGCGCAAGACGCAACCCGTAATACATTGAATATTAAATTGATGTATAACCTTAGATGACCATCATTACACTAGTTGAAATATGAAATATTTAAATTTTTAAACTGTTTTTAATAAAAAGTCAAATTTTCAAGTTACAGAACATTAGTGATTTAAACAGATGAAAATATATATATTCTTAGAGTGTAAAAAATAAAGACAATTAAGCACAGCAGGCGTTTCGTTACTCGTATATAAAAAAAATGTGAGGACTATCAAAGATTGGGATTCAATTAATGGACGTATAATCAAAGTCGAACTCAAAAAAAGAGCTTTGAAATGAAAATAATTCGATGACTTCGCTTACGATGACTAAGATGAAAAATTCTATAATCTATTAGATATAATAAGAAACTCATTTTACTGGCAGATTTCAAAGGACACACAGGATTTAAAACAAATGACGCTCTTGTAGGGCCATACTAAGAAAATGATTTGAATGATAATGGTAAACGAATTATAGTATAAGTCTAGTTTAGGTACTAAGTACTCGTCTGTCCATAGGTTTGACAGCCTCTCAGATGCTTTCACTACTGGTGTCGAGTTAATACTTAAGTAATATGTTTATTTTAAAAATCCCCTTTTGTAATCAGCGTATCGTCTCTCCGGCTAAGGGCTTGTGAAAGCAATTAATTTTAATGACTTTCGTCTGAGAATGTAGGGTATTGAATTTCATATAGTACAAGAATATATTCAATTTGTTTAGAGTTAGTTTTTAGTCGAATTTATACCACCGAACCGAAGGAAACTGAATAAAACTTTTAAAGTCACATTTGTGTATTTTAATACGAAAGTAATTTTTGTAATAGAAATTTAATTTTGTATTCTTTCGAACCAGGAGTCTCTTGCGATAATTAATCGTAGGACATTCCAAACGTAACATTTGGCGACCGTGACAGGACTTATATACGGGTGTGCTTAAAAGTTAGTTATTTTCGTTTATTTTAGTGCAAACTTTTTTCCGGCGAATAATTTTGTTTTTGTCGTGAGGCTCGGCCAAAGTTAACCTTTTTAAGCGAAAAAATGGAATCAGTTAAAAAACGCAGAACGGTTCTTCGTAGTGCATTTACGAAAGTTGCTACTGTTTTGGACAGTTTGTTAGCTCAACCGGTGGACATTCGACCCTGGCAGAATATTAGCGTACAGTGGGAACTTTTACAAGTAAAGTACAATGAGCTTTGTGAAGTGGAAAGTGCGGTACTTGAAAGTATGTTGGAAGAAGCTTCCGAAGAAGAATTAATCAGTGAGATGGAGACAAAAGATAAATATAGTGCAAGGTACTTTGAACTTAAGTACAAATGTGATGACAGACCAGGTTCAGTAAGTTCAGAGTCATCAAGTATAAAAGGTAAGCGCAAATTTAAATTACCTCCAATCGAATTCAAGAAATTTAATGGAGACTTGAAAGATTGGCTTCCTTTTTGGTCACAGTTCAAAGTAGTGCATGACGATCCATCAATTGATTTGACTGATAAGATAGCTTATTTGAGACAAGCCACTGTAGAGTCTAGTAAGGCCAGACGATTAGTGGAGAGTTTTCCTGCAGTAGCCGACAATTACTCAAAAATTATCCAGAGTTTGCAGTCTAGGTTTGGCAGAGAGGATCTCCAGATTGAAGTTTATATTAGAGAGCTCTTAAAGTTAATTTTGAGTCGAGTTTCTAGTAGTTCTTGTAATATTTCTGCTCTTTATGATATGATTGAAAGTCAACTTCGTTCACTTGAGACCTTAGGCATAACTGCTGACAAGTATGCGGCGATATTGTATCCTCTTATCGAGTCATGTTTGCCAGAAGATATGATTCGACTATGGCATAGATCTTCACAGTTTTTAAGGCCTTATGTTTCCGGGTCCATGGAAAATATCGCAGAAACGGCAGAGGTTACAACTTTAGAAACAAGATTGGATGGGCTAATGAGCTTTTTACAAAGTGAAGTTCAAAATGAACAAAAAATTGATTTAGCAACGGAAGGTTTTGGTTTACCGACTGAAAATAAATATAAATTTAATAACCTCGTTGCCAAGAAAACTGTAAAATTACATAAGCAAGGAACTGATCAGCCCTTAGCGACCGCTGCTGGGTTAGTAAACTATGAGGTTTACAGGTGTGTATTTTGTGAAGCGCAGCATGACAGTACAAATTGTTTTAAAGCACAAAAATTTACTATGGAGCAGAAACGTCGAACATTGTCAGAAAAGAAAGCATGTTTTCGATGTCTGAAAGTAGGACATTCTTCTAAAAAGTGTAGAGGACGTTTGAATTGTATATTATGTTGTAAATCACATGCTGTTTTGATGTGCCCTAATTTGCCTGTTAATAAAATTGATACATCGACCTCAAGTACTACCCGTTCGGAAGAAAATATAACTGAGGATCAGACGCTTGCTAATTTGAATAATACACAGGTTTTTTTACAAACTCTGCGAATAAACATAAGAAGTGCACATGGTACTAAACAAGTAAGGGCACTTATTGACACTGGATCGCAAAGGACATATATTTTACAAAGTACCGCGCAAGAAATGGGTTTTTCTGCTAAAGGAACGGAAAAGATTGTACACGCATTATTTGGCGGTAGAAGCACTTCTGAACAACGACATAAATTGTACGAGGTAACTGCGTGTGAAGGAACCTACGCTTATTCATTTGATGCATTAGATCAACCAAAAATTTGTGCCGATGTCTCTTCTATTTATGACGGCCCTTGGATTGAGGAACTCAGTGACATGAATATTTCACTCAGCGATGTCGGAAAGACAACACCGATTGAGATTTTGTTAGGAGCTGATATTGTAGGCAAATTGTATACAGGGAGAAAATATCAGTTACAGTGTGGTCTTGTAGCAGTTGAAACTTTGTTAGGTTGGACTCTTATGGGTAAGGTGCCGGCAGTTGCTTCTAATTCTAGTACAAGTATGATTACATTTTCGTTGTTTGTTAATAATTCTTCTGTAGCGAAACTCTGGGAGCTTGATGTTATTGGGATAACCGACCCTGTAGAAAAAATGACACGAGAGGTGGCAGCCAAAGAGGCTAAGAATTTTTTCTATGAGACTGTACGATGTGACAGCGAAGGCAGGTATGAAGTTATGTTACCTTGGTTGAACGAGCATCCTTTAATTTTAGATAATTTAGTTGTTGCTAGGAGAAGGTTAGATAATACTTTAAATAAGTTGAAAAGGTCTAATTTGTTTGAAATGTATAACTTTATATTCAATGAGTGGTTGAGCGAGGGTGTGATTGAAATAGTGAATAATCCAGAAGAGAATAATTGTGTGCATTATTTACCTCACAGGCCCGTTATTAAAAATAATAGTGAAACCACAAAAATTAGGCCAGTCTTTGACGCATCATCTCATGAACAAGGTTGTCCTTCTTTAAATCAGTGTTTGGAGGTAGGGCCTAATCTTATTGAACTTATTCCTTCTGTTCTATTACGATTCAGACAA